TAGCATCAGAGGCATTATTACAATGTATAGAGTGTTGATAAAGGAGTTAACAAAAAACCATCTGGGTTTTTTTTTTTCCAGTTAAATAAATTACCATACTTTATTTTAAGAAAACTGGCTTAGAGAAAGAATATATTCTCTCCAATAAATCTGTTTCTTATCCTGGTCTAAACATGACTATATTTAAAAGGTCTGATGTTTGAAAAAGAATAATATCTGTTGGACTGTTGAATTAGTAAGACTTAATTAATAGTTCAAAGCTTCTTTGTTTGCTGAACTTTTACACAGAAAGACATGGGATAACCATTCTGTATACTACTAAGTTCTCTCTCTCCCAGAGGTCCATGTCTTACCATTTTTTAAAAAAAGTGTGTTTATGTGTGTGTGTAGTTCAGCAAAACTAAATAAAATATATAAAAAAGACTGAGGTTACATTCAATGTTCTCTACTGATAATCTCTTACCTCTACAAAGAAATAGGGGGAAGTATCACAGACTTTCTTTGGGGCCAAGGTTGGGTTATTATAATTTTGTAACATTGTGTTTCAATTGTTTTGTTTTTTCCATGTATATTGCCTTGCTGGTTCTGTTTACATCACTTGGCATCCATTCATACAAGTCTTTGATGATTTTGTACATTCATATATCCATCATTTTTTCCAGAACAGTAATATTTTGTAATGTTTGTGTATCACAATTTACATGAGGAAATAGAGTGACTTTTGGCACTCTAAGCCACATTTAGAACTTCTTATCATATTATTCTGCAGTCCAACAAGAAAAAAAATTCCTTAAAAAACTAAATCAGGTTCCTCTTTAAGCTAACAAGCACCACATGAAACACATTAGCTCACAAATGATGAACCTAACCCTTCCTTCTTAATGTCCTAAGACACAGGCTTAATAATTTGAATATAAAATTAATTGGACTATTACTCTAGGCTAAAAACTCCATTTTCTATCATCTGCATTGGCAATAAGGCATCTAGTCAAAAGCCACACGACCCTGTGGGGTGGTTTGGTTTTGTAGATTAAGCTAAATGAACCACAAAAAGAGAAAGATAGTATACAATACAATACAATATGATATGATATGATATAATAGGATATACGATATAATGATATAATATGATATGATATGATTAAAGTAGACTTTAATATTCTTTTTTTCAGAGTAAGAGCAATGTATCCAGAAAGATAAATCACAATTAAAAAACCCCACCAAGCTTCTGGAGAAGGTACATCTGAAGGACTTATGATATCTTCTGAATTAAAGAATATTCATATTTCTTAGCACCACATGGCACCTTTTCAATAATATAGCACATGCTAGGACACAAAGAAATTATAAATAAATCTCAGATAATATGGCTTGCTCTACCCCACTCTCTTGGGTCCAGGCTTATTACATTCCATCAGGCTGCTCTCCCTGGGTCTTCTCTTTGCTGGACCAGTCGCCCAATAAGTTTTGCCTGTTTCCCTCATCCCACTGCACCTCTGTTACGCCCGTCTTCTTTTGTTCCTGGGCTGTTCTTTGCTGCCACCTGCTGGCTATCCTATGGAGTCCTCAGCTGAGGTGATGCTCTTTCCCCTAAGAGTGGGCTTTGCCATTTCTCTTTTAGTTTAGACCAAAAGTTAAGCTACAGTCTTTTAGAAAGGTGAGAACTAACACATCTAGTCAACAGAGTAGGGGAAAGTAACTTTCACTCCCTACTTCTTCCTAATTTCTCCTTTTCAGTCTCCTTTGTGGGATTCTCAATCGGATCATGCCTTCTAACTAGGTGTCCCTCTACGTTCTGTCTGTTGTCCTCTTCTCTTTTCCCTCTATCCTACTTCACTTGGTGATCTCATCAGCTTCCATAGATTTTATTACCATTTCTATGCTGCTAATTCTCAAATTTACCTTTCCTGCCCCACTTTTTATGCTAACATCTAATCTTGCTTCTCCAACTGCCTTTCAGACATTTTGAACTGGATTTCTAGTAGACATCTTAAACACGTCCAAAACAGAACTCATTATCTTTTTCCCCAAACCCTCTCCTGCGTCTTACCTTCCCTTTTACTGTAGAGGGCAAACCATCCTCAGTACTAACAGCTAGTAGTGCAGTAGATAGAGTGCTGGTCTTTACTTATTAATTGTGTGATCCTGGGCAAATCACTTAACTTCTGTTTGCCTGTTTGATCAGCTGGAAAAGTGGAGATAATAGCAGCACCTACCTCGTAGGGTCGTTCTAATGATCAAATGAGATATTTGTAAAAGTACTCAAAAATATGCTATCCTGCAGGAGAGAGAAAGAGAGAGAGAGAGAGACAGGGAGAGAGAGAGCTGATAGATTCAAGTGAAGACTGAAGCACATGTTCTTTTCTTAAACAAACATAAAAATATGGGGAGGGGCATGACTAATTGCATGACTATACATATTTGTAATGGGTTTAGTTTTTCCTACCTTCTCAATGGGTAGGGGAAGGAGAAGAGGGAGCAAGATAATTCAGAACTGAAAATAAAATTGAATTAAAAAAAAAAAAGAAAATGAGGGAGATACTTTCACGGCTGTTCCATAGTGACCTCAGTTAATGGTGCAGACAATACCCTGCAACCTTCCTCAGTGGGACTTTGGGATTTGTCCTTTTCTTTTCCAGACAGAACAGGTGGCTACCACAGTGGCCTTTTCTTCTATGAGGGACTGCATATTTGACTGTGAAAGGGTAGTGTCCCTCAAAGTCCCTCATGTGTGTTGAGAAGACTTCTGCCACTAAATGCTACCGAGTCATATCAATAACGTCCGGGAAAATATTTGCATCTAATGAGTTTTTAGTACAACATTTGACGGGTCATACTTTACTTCCATTGTCACGTATTTTCCCATCACGACTTGAATCAAAATGACAAAATGCAGACTAAAAGGGCATTTTAAAAAGAATGTTTTACTTTTTAAATGTCCTGTGACTTTAGGGGAAATCTTAGTTGAACTGCATATTTGAAATATCTGATTACACAGGAGCTAATACTTTCATAATCTAATTACTAAAAATAAGCTAGCAAGAGTTTAGTCAGTTTTGTTCTTATGCCACCTGCTGTTTGTATTTAATACAATCTAAAAAGTTACTACATTTAACCCCTGAAGGTGTAAGAAGCATATATGTATGAGTCATTAATTAAAAAAAAAAAACCTTTGAAGATAAGGATTAAGACAGTGAGGTCTGAAGGAGTTTAACGAAAACTTAAATCTACCAAGCTTTCATTTCATATTATACTGAGTATGTATGGAACACAATGCTGAAAAAGGATCTACACACAAAGAGAAAGCTTACAGCATCAGTGTATGTGACTGAAGTTTAGAAAACAGGTAAGAACATAAAGTGGCATTTTTCATTGACCTTAAAGGAATTCACAGACGGGCTGGAAAAATTCAGCAATGTCATTTGTAGTTGAACTCTAGTTAGCAATCAGTAGACTCATGGATCTAGGCAATTATCTTTCTTTCCAAACTCATCCTTCCAGATACCCCTATCCTTTCAGGCTTGTTGTATCTTTTATTTTTCCTTCATCCTGGATACCTCATCCATTGCTCAATCTCAGTTTCTAACTCAACATCTCTCCCACCCCACTCGTGAGACACTAAGACTACTCCAATAGCCTTCCCATTGACCTCTGTTCCTCATCTTCCTCACTCTAATATACCTCACACAGCTACCAAAGTAGTTTTATTTAAAAATAGGTCCGATTACATCACTCTTCTACTCAATATACAGTGACTCTGCCACCAGGAGGAAATAAAAAGGTTGTTTTTTTAATTTTTGGGCTTCTAAAGTTCTGGACACCTGGCTCCAATCTACTTTCCAGCCTTTTATCACTCTCCTTCCCATACACTATGTTCTGGCCAAGTTGGACCTCTGTTGGTTCCTCACATAACACAATGCCCGTCCTCCACGCCTAGAACCCTGCCTCTCTTCCCCGTCCCCCTCACGATTTAGCTCAAACACCACCTTCTATGTGAAGTCTTTCCTGTGACCAGCTTTTTGTGACTTCTCCTCCCCAAACTTGCCTTGTATTTAATATTTTGTATATATGTGCACACATGTTGCCTTGGAGCAGTGGTAATATCTAAGAAGAGGGAGGTTGATCAACAGAAAAGATTAGGTGTACAATATATAGGGTAGTGCCACAGTGGATAGAGTGCTAGGCCTGGAATTAGGAAGACACATCTTCTTGAATTCAAATCTGGCCTTAAACACTTACTAGCTGAGTGACCCTGAGCAAGTCACTTAACCCTGTTTGCCTCAGTTTTCTCATCTGTAAAATGAGCTGGAGAAGGAAATGGCAAACCACTCCAGTATCTTTGCTGAGAAAACCCAAAATGGGGTCATGAAAAGTTGGACATGAGAACAAAAAACATGTTGCTTTTCCCAGTAGAATGTAAGATTTCTGAAAGCAGGAATGGTTTCTTTTTCTTTCTTTTTATCTCCAGTGCCTAGGTATCATGCCTGGCACCTGGCAGTAAGTGCTTAACAGTGCCTGATGGATAGATAAGAAGACTGGCTAACCTATCATGTACACATTCCTTACTTCATTTGAATTGGGACATGGCATTTTGTTGCTTTTCAGTGGCGATCATAAAAAGGAGGTAGAGTCTTAGTTCTGCTACTCATAAGGTCCTTGCTTGACACATGGCTTCTCGAGGTCTGTTTTTCTCATTTGCAAAAATGAAGGGGATGGGATGGGAGCTAGGTGGTGCATTGGATAGAGCACTGGCCCTGGAGTCTGGAGGACCTAAGTTCAAATCAGGCCCCAGGTACTTGACACTTACTAGCTGTGTGACCCTGGGCAAGTCACTTAACCCCAACTGCCTTGCAAAAAAAAAAAAAAGTTTTTTTAAAATGAAGAGGATGATCTCAATGAGGTCCATCCTGCATCTAAAAATGCCCATTCTAAACCATGACATTACAAAAGCTTTGGATAATCATTTATAATAGTATATTTAGTAAAATATTCATTCACAATTTTAAATGAATCCATCAAGATTTATTTTATCTTCAAATATTTATTTACAAACTATATTCAAACATGGAAGTATGTTCTTCAGCCTCCCAAGACTATGCCTAAGTAAATGAAAGGCATTGTGGCCCAGCGGAGAGGCCCAGGTTCCAACCCCATCCCTGACACACACTGGCTGTGATCCTGGGCAAGTCACTCAACTTCCTGGTGCTCGAGGCAACTCTCAGACTATAAATTGCAGAAAGGATGCCCACCTGCTTTGGCAGAAAGTTTCCTAACCAGGGAGTTTCCAATACCAACGAAATCACAGGCGCAGTCCTTATTCCCAAAACAGGAACCAACACACTGACAATTCCCTGAAGAGACGCCTGCAGGGCTGCACTGGCTAGTCTGACTTAACCCATGAGACAGAATAGAAAAACTCCCTTCAAAACCTAGAAGGTGAAAAAAAGTAAACTTTCAGCACTGTCCACTGGGAATGAACATTTTCCCAGGTGTCCTTGGAGCTATACCGTTTACATCCGCAACGTCCCTCATACTTCTAAAATCCAATACTGATCCACTGGTGGCCAATGTGGCTCCATGGTTTTCAGTGTTCTAAGGTCGAAGAGGCTTCACGCGGAAGAATCACTACAGGTGAGGAAAGGTTCATTTCTGTGGGTGACATCTCTGTAGCACATACAATATACGTCTGAGCCTACTGGAAGCAGTTAAATGGGCAAGTCCATTTTTTAAAACCCTAATTCTACATTCTGAAAAAATACAAAATTTGTGCAAAAGCTATACCTTACAGTGAAAATTTCTCACGAAAGTTATCTAGCTTTCTACACAATGCAATTAAAAACAACAACAATAAACCAGAGGTTGTGCTTAAAAGTCATAGAAATGCCCTCGTTGGATTAGCAAAATGCCTGTACAACGCATTTATAATTACATATGCAGATTTTACATTCAAATTCTTTAAGAGGTACAAATCCTTGGAGTCTTTGCTGAGAAGCCCAAGACAGACAATTATACTGAACTTCCTTTAAGAAACATAATAGCACCTAGTCCATTTCACAAAATGCACTCTCTTTTTCAGTTGCTTCCCTACTAAGTCCTCGTGAGATTTTTCTTTCATATCTCCTTAGTCTGATCATCTTCTTCAAGCTTCCTGATTTCATTTTTTAAACAATTGATAGTTTCACGACTTGCTTTTAATCTCTCTTTAAGTTCAGCAATTTCAAAGCTTGTTTTTTTCTTGGCAGCTTCTAACTTTTCCCTGGTTTTTACTTCAAGTTCAGCAACTGGGAAGAAAAAAAAATGATAAATCATTTTATTATTTTCATATAAAAATATCTCTAAAACACATCATATGATTGTAGTACTATTTTCAGATAAACGTTTTCCATAATCTTTAGCAAACATGGAAAATCAATCCTTAAGTTCTCACACCCAACAAATGGGTCTATTTTTACTTTTGCTTTGTCTGATATCATGATTGCTACCCATTTTTCACTTCCGCTGAAGCATAATATATTCTGCTCTAGCCTTCTACCTTTACTCTGAGTGTGTCTCTTGTAAACAATATACTGTAGGATTTTGGTTTTTAATTCACTCTGCTATCCACTTTCATTTCATGGGAGAGTTCATCCCATTCATATTCACAGTTCTGATTACTGTGTATTTTCCTCCATCCTGTTTTTCCCATTTATACTTTTCACCCTCTCTTTTTCTCTCTCTCCTTTCACCCTGTCCCTCCTCACCAATGTTTTGCTTCTGGTCTCTGCCTCTCTCCATTTGCCCTCCCTTTTATCAGGCTACCTCCCTTTTCTTGTTCCCCTCCCCTCCTATTTCCCTATAGGATTACATAGATTTCCATACCCAACTGAGCGGGTTCCCTCTTTGAGCTAAATCTGAGAGAAGGTTCAAACAATGCTTACCACTCTTCCCTTCTTTCCCTTCACTATAATAGGTCTTTTGCACCTCTTCATGTGATGTAATTTACCCCACTGAAGCAGAACAATTTTGAAAGCAATGAATTTACTACATACCTTTTCTCTGTTAATGAATAATTTATATTGAAGTTACACCTTGATCCAACTTAGTCTCAACAGACTCCAGTCTTAAAGATTTTTGCCTTAAAGGGTTAATATAAAATACCTTAAGAGATGGTGAGCTGTTAGTCTGGATATTTACAGTAATTAGCCACTGTTTTTCTGGCTTTTGTTCGAATATGGTCTACCTCAACTAGCTCATCCAACAGAGACCTCCTTACAACAAAAAGCTTTCCTTGTTCTGGACGAGTTCTCGGAGCCTCTACCGAGAATAGCAAAGGATGTGGTCACAGACCCAGAGATTTCCAATGAGGTCAATTGATCAATAAGATTGGTCACAAATTCATCAAAATGACCTCCTACTTCCTTCACAAAAATTGGCTTCAACGTGCCTCTTCTTCAATGTGTCTCTGCTGTCAACAGTATCTTCCTTGTCAGGTGCTGTTTAAGGTCAAACTGACCATTTTCTGGAATCTGCAGAGTCTCTTCCTATGTGTACAATCTCTTCTTTATGTGGACTTTTCTTTTCTTCATCTTTTTCCTTGGATATGAATCAGTGACTTCTTATAAAAGGATGCTTTTCATCCAACATAATGTTGGGTAATTGAGTGGCAATGGCTTTCCCGGAGACAGTGAACCAGTAAGTGTGGTTCTGCACTCAACTAACTAGTGAGAAGCCCCAGTCTGCTTTGGTGCTACTTGCCCCCAGGCCAAGGAGATGAAGTTCCTGGGATTACTCCTGTTCTTTCTGGTCTCTTCCACCCACCCCCAATATACTTTTAAAAAAGCAAGCCATATGAAATGGAAATTCATATTCTCTTTTCTGTTTAAATTCAAAATTTTTTAAAGCCTGAAAAAACGTTTTAGAGAAAAACACAAACACCATTATACTCCTATATCTGAGCTGCAGATAATCATGCTGAATGGGTCCACTATAAATTTATGCTATCCAGCGTCAACTTGGTTTTCCTTGGTGCATGGGAATCCTAATCACTTATTATCTCTTTTTCTATCTCTTCACAGAGGATCATTCCGAACCTTCTGAATCTTTCCTACTCTTAAGAGTGACCTCACCGACCACTTTGCTAAGAAGATCTGGGCCACATAAAGGGAACTTCCTCAACGATCCTAATCTTTGTAGAAGTTAATGGATTTATATATACCCCGGATCCCATCTCTTCCATTACCTTGCTTCGTTAGTAATCATTCCGTTTTGTCTCATGCGTTTTCAGTTTCCTCTACTCTACTGGGTTCTTTCCCTCAACTTACAAACATGCACTGGTCTCCTTTACCTTTGAAACAACGAAAAGCTTTTCTTTGCTTCTCCCAACTCCTCAAGCTATCATTCCCCTTCTCTTCTGTCTTATTCCTAGAAAGAGTATCCTACACTCACTCACTCTCAAACACCTTGTAACCTGGCTTCTGCCCACACCACTATACTGAAACAGACTATTTCTATGACACTTATCGAATTCAATGGTCTTTCTTCTATCATCATCCTACTTGACTTCTCAATAGCCTAAGACATTGTGGACTATTCCCTCCTTTCCCTGGTTCCCATGACTCTACTCTCGTGCTTTTGCCTCTCTGATCACATCTTCTCTCTTTTATTAGCTCATCTTTGTCTTGGTCCTTAAACATGAATTTACCCTCAAGTTCTGTCTTAGGTTTCTCTTTTAGAGTATCTATCCACCTGCATAGTTTCAACCCTTTTATCCAGACGATATTTCTCTAGAAACTCGTACTGCATTTCTAGTATGCCAGGCTCCTAATAGTGATTTAAGACACCTCCTTTTCCTTTACCCCACACAAAAGCAATCAATTGGCAAGTCTTATTTATGCCTTGGCCCCCCCCTTTTACTCCCACTGCACCTACCTTAATTTTAGGTCTTCTACTGCCTAAAGTCTCTTCTTCTGTAAGTAATCTTAAGGCATCACTGTGATGTCACTTGTCAATTAAAAATGTGTAGCATTTCAATGCCTCTCGAGTCAGATATATACTTCTGACTCTGACATTTCCCTTCCACAATCTACTCCAAACTATCTTTACGGCTTTACTTCACATTATCTTCCTTGATGTGTTCTACGTTGCAACTGAACTGAACTGTTCTCTAGCACCTGATCTCTTCCTGCTTAGATGAATACAACTTGAGGAGTTTTAATTGAAATGGCACTTAACATAAAAATTTTCTGCCATGAACAGATACTTACTGTACAGGTGGATGTTCATCCACATGGGAAATATTCTGGTTATGTTGATGATTCAGAAAGGAAATGACCCATAATCTAAACAATATCTTTCATATACATAGCACTTTTTTAATATTTCAAGGTGATCTCACACAAATATAATCTTACTTTATCCTCACAAGTAGGCAGAGCAAGTATAATCATCTCTATCTTTCAGATGAGGAAACAGAAGCACAAAAATGGTTAAATGATTTATTCAAGGTCAAGGCAGAAATGGGACTAGAACCCACATTTTCTAATTCCCAGTCCAGTCTTTCATGTTAACGTAAAGACAGAACCAATTTTGTACAATGGAATAAATTTTCATCCCACATTTTACAATTCTCAAATGCAAATTTCCCCAAACTATATGACAACTGATAAGGATGAAAAAATATGCTCTTGTCTGTCCATAGGACAGAAAATTATAATTTTGCAAGTTCAAGTTCTTTCCACAAAGAATTTTGAACCAGATGTTGAAATACAACAATCGTTAAAGTGGGGAGAGATCATCAAAATTTATGTTAGCAAAAGATTAATACAAATAGAAAAAGCAGAGTGGTGTGTGAATCTGCCTTTTTGATATCTAAAAGTAGCACTACTTTGGGAGACATTTTGAATATACTTTGCTGCATCTTAATTTACTTAAATGAAAATTTTGTTATTAGCTATAATGACATCATGTAGCCTTTTCACCATCAAAAATAAAGTTCCATGATAATGTATGTAAATCATTATGTATTTTAACACTTACATTCTGTTTCATGCTTATAGGCTCCTAAGGTTAGCTGGCGAGATGTTGTTAATAACTGTTGCATCATTGCTGTTGGATCTTGAAATATCTAGAAACAACAATATAAAAGCATCTTTAAAGGCTTTCCCTTAAAAAATGATTTGAGGTTTCATTCAAAAAAAATTCTTACCATTTCATCATAGAACTCAGAAACCACAGTCTTTTTCCCCAGCATTGCATTGGTGTCTGACTGAAACAGCTTTAATAAGTGATAAAGTGTTACCTATAAATAAAAATAGATGACACGTAAGTATAATATTTTCCATTATCATCACAAAATGTCAGTCATGTGACTGTGTTAAGCAAAGATAGTGCCAGTATAACAATAACATGTTCATTTACGTAGAACTTCAGGGTCGATAAGTGGTTTACATACCTTTTTTTTGACATGATCCTCACAATAACCTTCTAAATTAGGTGTTATTATAATCTTTATTTTATAGATGAGGAAACTGAGGCTGAGAAAGGTTCAATGACCTACCCAGGATCATACAGCTGGTGTCTGAGGTAGGATTTGAATTCAGGTCTTCCCATTCCCCATGCCTATAATGCTCTCCCTCCTCACTCTGCTTCTCTCCTCCCAGGCTTCCTTCAATACTCACCTCAAACCCTACTGTGCTCGAGGCCTTTCCTGATCCTCCCCTGCTACTGCTACTAGCAGTCTTCCCGAGACAGACACACGCAGCACATCCATATACATATGAATATACTGACACCTACATATATTATGTATATACACACACATACATCTATATACATTTGTACATATACACACACACACACACACACACACACACACATATATATAAAATGTACACACACATATTTACATACACACATAATATAAATAGCTACATGCTACGTCTCTATTAGAATGAGAACCTCTTCAGGGCAGGAACCATGTCTTTTTTGCTTTTTCAGCACAATGCTTGAGTACAGAGTAAACGATTAATAAATGCTTATTGAATGACTGATTCAATTGACTAGATGTCCCAACATCAAGTCCAGTGATATCTGCCATACCACATTGAATTCCAGACTTTGTTTCACTGACTTAGCGAAAGAAATCTTTACGCAGTTTCCTCATCTTTTAGAGAGAATTACAGTGACCCTTTCTTATTATGAAGAGAGGGGACAGAATCAGTAATGAATGGTCTTTTAAAGCCCTTTCAACTATGAAAAGTGTTATTAAAGATTAATATTGCTTTCAATACCTTTGCCTTTAAAAAGACAGAATTATCACATTAACTGGTGACGTCAATTCCACAGATAATGTTAAATCCACTGTCAGATAAATAATTTTCATTATAATAATAATTAATATTTCTATAGTGCCTACTATGTACTAGGCACTGTGCTAAGTGCTTTACACACATTACTTTTGGTGTTCATAACAACTGTGTGGGCAAGGAACTATTACTATCCCCATTTTGCAGTTAAATGACCTGCCTAAGGTCTCAGAGTTAAGTGTGAGGCTGTATTCGATCTTGGGCCTTCCAGACTCCAGGCCTGGCTCTATTCACTGCTCTGTCAGCTGCCCCAAAATAGGTGCTCTCAAGTTCCACATTACCTTTTTAAGCAAACAAACCAGAACTATTGGGAAAAGCTCAATAAAGGTGAACTGTCTTTTATATATTATGTGTGATGCTCAAGCCTGCAGCTAAGCACATAACAAATGCTAATGAAATGAAAATGCTGTGTTTAAAACAAACAATTAACACGTGCCTATAAAGAACAGGGGTGGCAAAGGTGATCTGTTAACCAGTTCTGTCAAGCAGATGACTATGCCTGAGGTACTTATGACCAGTGACAACAGTGATCATAAGTTTAAAATTATCAATAATTAGCAAAGGAAAAACACTAAGACTAAGTAACCATAACATTAACTTGATGCTGATGCTAACAAGATGTCAGTATTGGCATCATGTCAAAATCATTAAAAATCTTATTTTAACTCCAGTCTATGGGCTAAATTATTTGCTCACTCACTTTATACAACCATAACAGGGAAAACACACACACACACACACACAACCCCCCAATATATTCTTTCCCCATTCCCAAACCTAGGAGCCATCCCTCGTAACAAAAAGTAAACAAAAGAGAAAAACAGTTCAGCAAAACTAACCAACAAACACTAACCGAGTCTGACAGTATATGCAATGTCTAACAAGACTGCTTAATAACAGAGAGCACGTCTCTCAGTAGACAGAAAATGGTTAAGTATCTGTCAAGCAATACTGTGGAAGCACTTGAATTGGGAGGGGAGAAATTGGTCTAGATCAGGTCTAAACCATTTTCGTGCCATGAACCCCAATGGCAGTTTGGTGATGTCTATGGACCCCTTCTCAGAATAATTTTTTTTAAAAAATGTATCACTACATTTTCATAATGTCTATTGTTTTAGAACTCATTTTATGCTCCCAATTTTTAACTTAATATTTCATTTCTGGCCCAATTACATGTAAAAACAATTTTAACATTCTTCCTCTACCCCCCAATTTTGAGTTCCAAATTCTCTCCCTCCCCAAGAAGGCAATCGATTTGATACAGGTTATACAAGTACAGTCATTATGCCAAAATTTTACTTACAGGTCTTTCATTAGGATCAATGAAAAATATTTTGATGATTATTTCAAATTCGCCCCAACCTGTTTCTGTAATCTCATATGGTGGCTTAGTAACAACTGAAAAGGGAAAAAAAATAACATAAATGCAAACAACTGCTTTTTATTTTATTTTTAAAAATACCTTATAAATTAAAAATGAAAATAATATACCTCTTAAAGGATTACCATAGCTTTCATGCAATTTAAACTGGATTTTCTTCACATATGCTGACATATCCTAAAATACAAGCACAATAACAGATTATGTTCTACTATTTGCAAATTAAAAGCACTAAGGGAATAGTAAATTGCACAGGTAGTATTTTAATTAAAAAAAAAAAATGAGTGCCTCCAAATACTTTTGGTTTGAAAACTCAATTATTTTTAATTGTATAGGAAAGTTGGTGGTAAATACTTTTGTGTCCTACAAAGAATCAACCCCCAATTAATCTATTTTAAAGCCCAGATTTGCAATACAGGAAATTTACCTATACAACATTACATTTCTGGATAAAGGCTGTTGACTAGAATTTTTCCAAAGAAAAAAAAAATAGCAAAAATGGGGCATTATGTTCTTTACCAGGGGCCTGAGGTTTAGCTTTTTGCAGAAATGATCATAAACATAATATTTAATCATCTATAAACAAAATAAATGTATAGTATAAAACTTGAGAGAGTAAATATGACTAGATTAAACATAATTAATCTCACAGAGAATCAAATTTTGGCTCAAAGAGGAAAAAAATTACAATTATCATTGGAAGTCTTTTTGTGGAGCTTGGATTTGTGGATTTTTTATGGAGGAAACTTGTGATTTAGCTATCCAGGCTTGGTTGAGATATCAGAGGTCTTTCCCAGCTCTAAGATTTCATCATCCCAAGTCACTTGTGGCTTTGGTCCTCAGGTTCCTTATCTATACATTGTGTGGCAGAATGGAAACATCAATTAACTGGGGAGACAGAAAAGCTGGATTCTAGTCTGAGCTCTGCCACTAACTAGCTATGTGACCCCGAACAAGGTCTTTTCATTGCTATGGGTCCCAGCTTCTTCATCTAAAAAGTGAGGAGTTTGGACAAAATGAGCTGTAAGATCTCTTGTAGCAATACTATTCCAAGTCACATAAAACTATTTTAAATAACATTATAGCATACTGTGTGAAGTTCTTAATGTTTTCATAATTCTGCTTTACTTTTATGCAATAAACCAAGTCAAAGAATACTACCAATGTCATATAATCCAGCTGGATAAAACTGGGAAAATAGTAACAGGCATTTGTAAGGGGACTTCTGGGGAAACTTAAAGCACCTGCCTTCTTTTTCTTATTATAAATTTCCTAATGCCAAGAATAGGCATTAGAGATAAAACTGTTCAGGTCATTCTGTTGCCTTATAAACAGAAAGCCTTTCTGTTTTCTTGGGATGCTATCAATTAGCTCCATCTCCTGTTATATTAGACACATGTGGTCTTTAAAAGGGATGAGTCAATTCTTTTCTGCACTCATCAACTGATCCCTCACCATACTGTTGCTTCAAACTTGAAGTGTTGAATAGGGTCATAAATCTACAAAACTATACAGTGTTGAATAGGGTCATAAATCTACAAAACTAAGTCTTTCCCATTTTCACCACAAATCCTGCACTTTTCCTAATAATGGTGTATTTCAATTTTCTCTAGAACACAAGCCTTTTACTTTATTTGCCCTGTTAAGTATGTTTAAGGATGCTACGTGACTATAAACCAGATTGAATTATTTTTTAACAAATATACTGGAAATTACAAATATAAAAGAATGCTGTTCTTCAAAGTATCTTACAGTTTAGGCTGGAAGTCACTGACTCAAATGGAGTAGCTACTGTTCAAAACGATTTTGAAATTCCTCTTTAAGAACTGTCTCCTGAAATGCTTCATGGAGCTTTTGCAGTTTCCCACTCCACTCTTCAAATCAATCATTTGCATTACTTACTCATGCCACCATTTAAGTGGCTCGGATTTAATCACAGGACTTATATTATAGTTATTTGTCTGTTTTTCTCATTCCCCTTCTGTTCCGCAAACTCCAGGTGGGTAGGGACTGTGTGTGGTCTTTGTATACACAAGACCTAGCGGGTACAACGCCCCGGACGCAGCAGATGTTTGATAACTGTTGGCTGAATCCTTCCATCCCTGTAAGGCTGGGTTAGCTTCTCTTCCCTGTCATTTCCCTTGCACTGGAGTAAACTACCCACAAACCTTAAAGAGCATGGAAGCAAGCACTCCAGGGACAGAAGGATTGGCTTCTTTCTGGAATTTCACTCACGTATTACTTTCCTGACTATTTCTGTTAATGGCTCTTAGCTTGAAATCTTAAGAGGCAGCTATGACTCTTTACTCTCATGCCCTGTTACGGTAAAATGTAACCAAGTCTACCTCTACAACTGTTACGGCATCTAGACTCTCCTTCCCAATGCCACCAGTCTAGCGCAGGTTCTCATTTTCTCCTGCTTGGATACTGCAGTAGTATCTTATCAGTCGGTTCCCCGCTCTAATATACCCTCACACCACTGCCAGGGTGATCTTGCTAAGGCACCACTACGATCACTTAATTCTCTTGTTCAAAAAACCTGTAGTGGGCTCCCATTGCCGTAAGTACACGCTGTTAAGGCTGGCACCCAACACCCTCAGTCTGGTTCTAACCCCTCTTTCCCAGTCTAATCTAACAATATTTCTATTACTATAGCCTATGTTACAGGCAAAATGAACCAGTCACAAGCTCTGACCATCATTCTGCCCTGTCCTATCTTCATCCTTTTGCTCATCTAATCCCCCAGGCCTAGAAGCGTCTCTCCTCGGGTGTCCCTGATGAAATATTTCCCTTTTTAAAAATAAGACTTCATCTTTTATGAAGCTTCTCTGCTCCTTTCAGTTGGAACTTCAAAATTTTTGGCTGCACTCTGGATAAGCTCTTGCCCTGGTACTTACTGTCTAATCTGTATTAAATTTATTGCTGTACATGACCAAACTTGAGAACACTGACTGTGTCTGATTCCTTTTTTTTTTTTTTTTGGTATTGTAAATGCCTAGCACAATTGACTTCTAAAGTCCTTCATAACCTATGCCCCACTCCTACCTTTACAGTCTTTTTACATCTTACACCCTGACACCCTGACTTTCTGATCCAGTGACACTGGCTTCCTGGCTGTTCCACGAAGAATACACTCCATCTCTCAGCTCTAGGCATTTTCTCTGTCTGTCCCCCATGCCTGGAATGCTCTATTGCCTCATCTCTGCCTACTGTCTTTTCTGGCTTCCTGTAAGTCCCAACTAAAATCCCACCTTCTACAGGAAACCTTCCCCCACCCAGCTTCTCTTAATTTCAGTGCATTCCCTCTGTTAATTATTTCCAATTTATCCTGAATTTAGCCTGTTTGTACATATTTGTTTGTTGTCTCCCCCATTCTTTTGCCGTTTTTTGTATCCCCAGAGCTTAGTACAGTACCTAACACACAGCTCTTAATATTGACTGATTGACCAGCATTACTGGTTCTAAATAAGTGTTTACTGAATTGAAAGGTGTCATTGTAGATATCAGGTTAACATGACTGCTTGAATAGTTTCAGATCAGCCTAGCTTTCACACATGTACTGCAATAAAGATCCGAAATAAGCACCAGATTGAACAATCATCAATAAATTAAAAGAAGAGAAGTGCCTCCATCAGGTCCAGGATTACACACAAAAGAACCTAGAATCCTGTGAAAGGTGCTGTGAAAGGAGTACCACCAGCAAGTCAGTGTATATGCGGCAGAACAACCCAGAAGCCTGTAATTATGCCCTAGAGATGCTCCAGGGGCCCTTGGAACAGCAGTCCTAAGGCCAGGAAGCACCATGGTGGCTAAGAAACCTGTAGCATTCTGATAGCAAATTCAGGGCACAGAGAGCTCAGAATGGGACTCCCCAAAATGGGGAGTAGAAGTTTGAGGCATAGACACACTAGAGAAAGTGGATACAAAGAAACCGAGGTCAGGAAGAAAGGGTGCCTGCCCACCCTAACCAAAAGTTCAGGAGAGTAACTCTATAATAACTACAAGTAGAGCCTCAGAGAAAAAAAAATGTCTTGGCTGTAAATACTACAAGAGTACCTCGGAAAAATGAAGTGAGAGATAAAAAAGCAGCTTAAAAACAAAGTGAAACAAGGGCTGTGGAATAAAGCACCGAGAGATGAATATATATATTAGAACAGAAAATCTTATCCAACCAAGATATCCCATGAAAACTATTAGACAAGAACAGGGACTACTTTTTGCATTTCTTTGAATCTTCAGTGCTTAGCAATGAGCTAAGCTAAATTTGTTTGTTGGATGATTGAATGAAACAGAAATCAATGATTCCATGACACAACCAATAAATATTAGAACAAAGTCAAAAGATTGAAAAAAACATTAAAAAGTTATCTACAATTTTTAAAAAGTCTGGAATACAAGGAGAGATAATTTAAGAATCTTAAAGTTCCTGAAAACCATGATCAATTAAAAAAAATCCTGGATATTTCAAGAAATTATGAATGAAAATAACCCAAAACTATTAAAATCAGGAGACAAAAGTAAAAACAGAAAGAATTAAGTCACTTCCTAAAATAAATCTCAAAATGAAAACGCACAGAAATTTAGAGTTTCCAAATTAAACAGAAATTACTACAATCATCTGAAAAGAAAGAATTCAAGTACCATGGAACCACAGTCAGTATCACATAGGACTTTGCAGCTGTTACTTTAATGGAGAATAAATCTTAAAATATGATGTTTCAAAAGGCAAAAGATAAATGCATAAAACCAAGGATAAACTGTCATGCAAAACTAAATATAACCCTACAGAATGGGGAAAAAATGACCTTTTAATAGAGCAGAGTACTTTTCAAGCATTCGTGGTAGGAAAAAACCCGAAACAAAAAACCCAGAGTGGGGTGAGGTGGGGTCTGGACAGTCCCTTAATAGTCATTAAATTGTGAGCTCCTCAAGGGCTGGTACTATCTTCTGCCTTTCATTGTATCTCTGGTGCTCAGCACAATGACTGGCAAACAGTAAGTGACTATGATGACTGACTGAGGCAGGATTGCCAAAGACTCCAATTATTAGGGGTAAGGATTTACTATTCGGCAAAATCTCCCAGGAAAACCGGAAAGCAGACTGGCAGCAATTTGATTAAAACTAACATCTCATACCATATAACCCAAGTTCCAAATAGACACATAACCTAGATATAAAAGGTCACATCACAAACAAATTAAAGAAGAAAGGAAAGGGATACTTTTCACAAATACAGATGGAGAAAGAGGTCTGGACCAAACAAGGACCAGAGAAGATCACAAGAGATAAAATGAACACTTTTGCTTACATAAAACTGAAACATTTCAGGACAAGCAAAATCAAAGCAGGCTGAATTAGAAGGGAAACAGCTAACTAGGGGAAAAAATCTTCACAGTAAATTTCTCTGATAAAGGTCACAGTATACAGGGAACTGATTTAAATACATAAGAAAGACAACCGTTTGACCATTCTCTTGAATATATATTTACTTGTTACCAAGGAGTCTGTTTTTTTGTAATTAAGGGTGAGGGGGTCAGGAGGGAGACATGAGCTAGTTAGTGATAATGATGTTCCAACTCTCAGCCTCTAAGAGAAAACAGTATCACTGAGACACTTTTTTAAAATGTAGAGAACAAAAGAGAGTTCAGAGGGAGCTTTGAAACTACCACTCTGAATTACATACTTTTAAAAAAAATCCAAAATAAAAACATTCACAATTATTAGTGGTTTCATATACAATCCTCTTATTCTGTTCTTTATATATGTAAACATTCATGTTTATTAGTATAAAACTCAAAGGAACAAAAAATTAATTAAAATTCATCTTAAGTATTATAAATTCATAATACGGATATAACTCAATAAACAGCATCATAAAGGAAAACAACTAAGTTGAAGACTATGTAATTTTACTAATGTGGGCACGTTTAAAACTTTTATTAAAAAACAAAACAAAATAAAACAAAAAACCCCAAATTTTTATTGCTTCTACCATCCTAACTTTACATTTGTAGAAATTTAATATTTCAAAATTGTTTCACAATATAAAACTAAAGCCAATATTTTAAGAAGTATGTTACTAAGCAAGTAATACCTTACAGTATTTATTTTATATAAGACCCCTGCAGGAATGGAATACTTTCCAGCCCCAAATTTTAGGTTACTATCTGTAGCATGTTTCTTATAGTCAGTGGCAACAGTCATATAAGTGGTGGTATTATAACCTTTGGGTAAGTTAAAAAATGTCCTCCCACGAAAATGGCACACTAAAAATATATGACCTTAAGAACTTCATCATGCCATTTCAATGAAATTTAGAAAAACTATTACAATTGTTTATAAAAGGCAAAAGTATTTCTCTTACCTCATTCCTGTATGGCTTTACATATACCGTCCACTGATGAGTATGACCATCTTCTTCTCTTTTCTTTCCAAAATAACGAGCAACATTACCATAAACTATAGGTTTAACAATAGTAACCCCCTAAAAGAGAAATTATTTTAAAACTCACTAAACATTATATTATGACTCAAAAACTAATATTAGAAGTCCTAACAATTTACTACAGCTGCCAGAGGGCCAATAATTCAATGGTAACATTTTTATTTCCTTATAGTACATTAGTTTTGGATTAATTTTATAAATGTCTATAATGCACAAAGTTAAACATTATACTATATATAGTTCTTTTCTGGAAAATATGTGTGATAATTGTGCAAAACACTTTAAATGTAAATATATAGTTCTTTTCTGGAAAATGTGTGATAATTGTGCAAAACACTTTAAATGTAAATAGGAAAAGTTATTTAACTGTTTATCTTTTAAATTCTTTGATGCTATTTTACTGTTACTTGCCAGTCCAAACTAATTCAGTTGCAAATAGGAATAATTTTTCTTGTGAAATTGATTAGACAATGAAAATGTGTCAAAGTTTTTCTTCCACCAAAACTTTCACAATAAAGGCAGCACGAGGCAGCTAGGTGACACAGTGGATAAAGTGCTTGGAATCAGGAAGAATCTAGCCTTAGACACTTGCTAGCTGTGTGATTTTGGGCAAAATCACTGCTTCAGTTTCTTCATCTGTAAAATGGTGATAGTAGCACCTACCTCCCAGGGTTGTTTTGAGGATAAAATAAAATGTAACACTCTCTCTAAAGTGCTTTGCAAACCTTAAAGTGTTATAAAAATACTAATTATTACAAGCTTCTGATTTATATGTGATGCTAAAACACTACATGGTGTGATACCTGTTTGTGGGAAGTAAACCACCGTTAAGTGACCAAAAGGCCATTAACTACAGGCTTAATCCTTGCAGTCTTCACCATCATCAAACATTTAATAAGTTCGCACTTGGGGTACCCTTGTCATGGACATTGTCAGCCTCCTGAAACAAGGTCCAACTGCGACAAGGTCCAGTCACTTACTCAATGTCCTTGATATATTTTAACACGTTGGCTGTTAAATATATACACAGGGTATGATGTAGTGGGGAGGGGAGGGAAGATAAGACAAGCAAATACCTTCAAATTCTGATAGCTCTCCTGTTAGAACAATCAATCAACAAGAATTTATTAAGCACCTAATATGTGCCAGGAGCTGGGGAGAGGGACTTCATCTGTGATTTCACCGGTACAGGGAACTTCCTGACCAATACAAATCACCTCAGCAACTTCACAAAGAGACAAAAGTGAGACAGCCCTCGGGGGGCTGATATTCTAACGGAGGAGGAGATATATGTTCATATTTAAGTAAAAATTGATTTTCCGGGGGGGGGGCGCGCACCAGTTCTGTGATTTCTTTATCATAGGGAACCAAGGATGAGGAAATGCTCTTAATCAGTGTAGGTCAGCACCTACTCAGAAACTCTTAAGTGTTTTCTGGGACACTATAACTAGCTCAGGATTACACATATTTATTCTCTTTAAAAGAATCACAAAGTGGGGCAGCTAGGTGGCGCAGTGGGTAGAGCGCCGGCCCTGAAATCAGGAGGACCTGAGTTCAAATCCCGTCTCAGACCAAATACTTGACACATACTAGCTGTGTGACCCTGGGCAAGTCACTTAACCCCAACTGCCTAAAGAAAAAAAAAATAAAAGAACCACAAAGCAATTCTTCTCTCTATATTTATTTGAACATACCTTTATATTAGGTTCACAGATTTAGAACTGCAAGAGATCTTGGAAGTTAGGAGTTGCCCGAGGCACTTCAAGGTCAAGTACCTTTTCCCCAGGATCATTCGGCATTTATTCTCTTTATATTTATTCTGTATATTCTTCTATAACAGATCCATAGATTTGGAGCTGGAAGGGACCGTTGTTGTTGTTGTTCAGTTGTGTTCAACTCTTCGTGAGCCCATTTGGGGTTTTCTTAGCAAAGATTCTGGAGTGGTTTGCCACTTCCTTTTCTAGCTCATTTTAGAGATGAAGAAACTAAGGCAAACAGTGATTAGCTGAGGGTTGCCCAGCAAGTAAGTGTCCAAGAATGGATCTGAACTCATGAAGATGAGTCTTCCTGATTGTAGGCCTGGCACTGTATTTACTGTACTACCTAGCTGTGGAAAGGAGCTTGGAGGCTGTCAAATTCTACTCCTTTCTGGTTGTTGCTTGTCCTTCACTCTCCAAGAGGACCACAACATCAAGGAGGTGATGCCATGACATCGAAGTGAATTGGATTTAAGTGAGGGAGGGCTGCTGTGCAAAGTCACCAGCCTCCAGAGCCATCTGAGTCCAGTGGCCAAATACAGATCAGGACAATTGGAAATGGTCACGGATGCAGTGGGAGACTGTGGACTTTTTAAGCTAATGTCTTTCCCAGGTTTCCGTTTGGCCTCCTACTGCTTTATTTTATAGATGGATGAATCAAGCGTTTATTAAAGGCTTACTACATGCTAAGTTAAGTATTGGGGATACAAAGAGAAAATGACAGTTACTGACCTCAAGGAGCTCACATTCTTTCTAGGCGGGGGAGTAAACACATACTGAAAGTTTGGATGCCCCTTCATTAATGTCATTTCCACTGGTAAGATATCAGTTTCTAAGGCTGAACCATTTGACAGTGCCAAGGACTTTGTTCTAATGAGGAAACTGAAGCTGACTTAAACTTTATTTTTTTTTTGTTTTGTTTTTTACTTTTTGATGAGGCAATCGGGGTTAAGTGACTTGCCCAGGGTCACACAGCTAGTAAATGTCAAGTGTCTGAGGCCATATTTGAACTCAGGTCCTCCTGACTCTAAGGTCAGAGCTCTATCCACTGCGCCACCCAGCTGCCCCTGACTTAAACTTTAAGTGACGGGTCTGGGGAGGTAGGATTTGAACCCTGGTCTTCCTTTTTCCTAAGTCCAGTCCTCTATCCACTGAAACACATACCTCTTCCTTATCTCTTCCGTAAGAATATAGGGTGTTTACTAGCAATGTGACCGGGGGCAAGTCACTTAACTTCTGCCCGCCTCAGTGTCCTCCTCGGTAAACTGGGAGTAAGAATAGCACCCTCCTCATAGGGCTGTTGGGAGGATCAGCAGAGGTAACATACACAAAGCGCTTTGCAAGCCTTAAAGTGCTTGCAAAGCGCTTCATAAATATATTAAAAATAGTAAATGATAAATAAATGCCAGCCATTATTATTATTAATCAAAAATAGGGTGTCCCCAATGTCCGAGTGCAGTTGTCAGCACCGGTAGCTCTGCACCAGTCCGTCCTTAGGGAGGGGGTTGTTTCACTGATTATATCTGTATCCTCAGCGCCCGGCACGAGGCTAGGCACAGAGGAGGCACCAAACACATGCTTGATGACAGATGATGACTGCGATGTCAGGCACTAGTCTCCCTACAGCCCCCCCACGCGGCCTCCCAAGGGATAAACACGGAAAGGCCAAGGTTCAAATACAAAGGAAGTCAGGGGGAAGAGCCGGAGCAGTTGAACCGGAAGGAAAACAGCGGGGACAGCTCGCCCCAAAACGCACCTCATTCTCGCTTTCCTCCCCTCCCCCCGCTCCCGGCGTTTTCCGGCACCCTCCCTGCCCCCCGCCCCGGCCGACACCAACCTTCACTCTCCCGCCGGAGTCAGGCCCAAATTCGGCCATTCTCTTGAACATATTGCACCGGGGGAGACGCCGCCGCCGCCACTGCTGCCGCCGGGGAGAGAGGGCCGGGGCCCCTCAGCGGCGCCGAGCGCTCCTCCCGCCCGGGCCTCGCCGCCTGCCTGGTCCGAGAGGAGGCGAACCACCGGGGCCCGTGGGGCCGCGAACCCGCCTGCTCCGCTGGGCAGCGTCCGTGAGGCCCATTCAGCCCCGCGAGAGCGGAAGGAGGAGGGAGCGAGCAAAGGGAACCGCGCGTGCCCGGGCGCGCGCCCTCCTGCGGGCTAGCTGCGCGCCACCGCGCCTGCGCAGGCCAGCTGCGCCGGCGGTGTCACTGCGTCTGCGCCGGCGGTGTCACTGCGTC